GAAAACTCGAGGCAGAGAGCTGGAGCGGTTGTGGGGCTGACCTCACGTGCTCCTCATCTTTCTGCGCTTTGTTAATTTACTGTTAGTGTCTTACAGATTGTTGCTTCATATTTTTTTGTATCTGTTTTGTTGTTGTTTGTTTCAGGTGGGAGGCTAAATCTTGTCCCTTCAAATCCATTTCCGCTATTAATAAAAGCAAAATGTTCGCCCCAGGTGGAACCGATATGGCGACCGAAGGGGATGTGGAGCTGGAGTTGGAGACTGAGACCAGCGGCCCAGAGCGGCCTCCCGAGAAGCCACGGAAACATGACAGTGGTGCGGCGGACCTCGAGCGGGTCACCGACTATGCGGAGGAGAAGGAGATCCAGAGTTCCAATCTGGAAACGGCCATGTCTGTTATTGGAGACAGACGGTCCCGTGAGCAGAAAGCCAAACAGGAGCGGTAAGTCTTCAGCGCACAGCCAGCCTTAAATTTCTCCCCGCTCCACCCCAGACAACAATAAAAACCATTTTTAAGCCTTAAAAAAAAAAAAAAAAAAAAAAAAAATGTTCGCCCCAGACTTTTTCAAGAAGTCTCTCCATTTGCTTAAACAGAAGCATTGCTACCAAAGAACATCAAATGAAACACTTCTACTGCGGACCAATTTAAAAGATGCACTTATTTGAATCTCAGTCACGCCAAGATATTGAACAACCAAGATCGAAGTGTGGTTTTGGATCCATTTTAGCCTTCACCAAACTGGGAAAGATTGTTAACAAGTAGCAGCCTGTATTCTTGGACAGAATTGCCAACGAGCTGTTACAAAACAGTCTATTCTAGCGGGTAACATCTCCGTATGGAAGTAAGGTCTGCCTCAAAGTGCAAGCAAAGTACCACTGCTCTAAACCCAATAATAGCTATAACTGTAAGAAAAATGTATCCAACTTCTTAGCACCTGTGTTAGTCTTTGCAAAAGGACAAAGGTGTTTCCACTTTTTTTTCTTAGCTACCCTTAAAGTTGCCTATGGAAATCTGTGTGCTAAAGAAGCACAAATGAGCAGTAACAGTGACGCCCAAATCAATATTTACTATAGATTATGCAACATAAACATTATATAGTTTATTAGGATAAAATGTGAGCTGCCATAATCCTTGTACTATGGGGAAATTATTATGGTGAAATAGACTCAATAAATATTTACTAGGGCAACTTACCCAGAGCTGTGTCCAATATCGTATCTTGACTGTTGTATTTATTAGTCCGGGTTCTGCAGAGAAACAGAGCCAGTAGGCTATGTGTGAATATTTAAGAGGAGATTTATTATGGGAATTGGTTCACGCAATTTGGGGGGCTGAGAAGTCTCATCCTATGCATCTATAAGCTGAAAGACAGGGAGAGTGGATGTTGCAGCTCAGTCTGAAACTGAAGGGCTGGGAACGGGTTGGGGTGGGCGGGCTGCTGGTATCAGTCCCAGAGTCGAGTGACCCAGGAACTGGCAGCTCCACTGCCCAAGGGCAGGAGAAGACGGGTGCTTCATCTCAAAAAGAAAGAGAATTTGCTCTTTTCCCACCTTTTTGCTCTATTTGGGCCCTCAAGTGATCTTTTACTCAGTCTACCGATTCAAATGCTGATCTCCTCCACAGACACCCTCAGAAATAATGTTCTGCCAGCCACCCGGGCATCCCTTAACCCAGTCAATCGACACATAAAATTAACCAACACGGCTATAATTCTTTAAAAAAGTTTTTTTTTTTTTAGTTCATACCTGGCAACTCACCGAAGCATCTAAAAGCGCGTAGTCCTCTCTCTTTATATTAAAAATATGAGAACAAATAAATAGAAGATCAAAAGGACGGAAAAGAATATGAAATTGGGATTCTTTGGAACAAGTTTATATTGGTTCAACACACTGTATATAATCTAAACAAAAAATAATTATTCAAGACCACATCTCTATTCTTCTAACTTTGCATCCTAAAGACAAAGCAACATCGTAACCAACATCTTTCAGGAAAGATCTTGTTACTTACTGTCCTCAGTCTATATTAATGCAGAGAGTATGTGGACTCACTCCAGCACTGGGGCACCTATTAATTTCTTTTCTCAGACATCCTACAGAATTCCCCGCATTAAGAAGCCATGAAGAAGTGTTTACCCAATATGCCTTTCCCCGCGGTCACCCTGAGGCAGACCTATAGGTTGATACCTTTCTAAACATAGGCAACTGTTTCAAAATAGGTTTTGCCAGGAAAGATCGGAGTGTACTCAATAGAAACTGACTTTGAAGTGCTTGAAAAGCATCCATGCAGACAAGTCTAGAGAGGATTGGGTTAATGCATCTGTCCCTTTATTAACTAATTACATCAACAAGTATGTACCAAGCACACGCTCCCGCTTGGTGCTATTCTGGACGCTACAGTTGCAGTCTGCCTGTAACACGCGAGTACCTGTTCTAAGGAGCTTCCATCCTAATGCTAGCACTGATGCTGGAAAGACGCGTAATTTTGCTATTCTCAAAGACGGGATGGAAAATATGACAGAGTGGCAGAGTTGAATGTGTTAGGGAAGCTATAAGTAGAGGTGCTCCTCTCTGTTGAGCCCCCTCCCCGCACCCAACGCACACACTTACCACGCAACACCGCACGCTAACACCAAACTGTCACACCTGCTCACATACGCGCACTCTTGCACACACCCTTACAAAGGATTTAAAATCATCCAAGATCTACTGAGGTTTAGGTGCTTCATTTAAAGAATGGTCTTCCTCGAGGTTAAAATCTACTTTTCCTTGATGAATCCCACTCTTGTAACATTTCGATCCTTTTTAATGTCCAACAGTCTTGTTATCAAAATGTCTCCAAAACTCATTAAACAACTGCAGGCAGTTTCTTTGTTCTCTCTGCGCCTGCCAGGGCAGATCCTGGGACATTCACGGTAAGAAATCAGACACAAACTGAAGACCCGACGTCCGCAACATATCTGAGATCCACCTCTGTGTCTGGCGCGTGCTAGTCCTGGAGATATAATACCAGGGCTCGTTGTAGTGAGCTCTCTGAGGGTTTAGAATTTACCAGAAACATTTGCACAGTGACTCCAGATGCATTCCAAACCCACATCCACGGATTATTTCTGATGCCCCACAACAGCAAAAGGTAAGCACAAACAGGCCAAATAAAAATGAATTATTCTCTATATTACAATGGGACACTTGCTATATTAGGGACAGGTGTGACTGCAAGAATAACATTAAACCTAGCATTTGTTCAGCACTAGTGCTACTCTGTAGATATCTATTAGTACCTCCTGAGTACTAGTCTAGAGTATAAGTAGTACTACTGTGCTGTGGAGTAGTACGTGCGCTCTGTGCTAAACACGTTAAACACATCATTTCATGTAACCCTCCCAAGAGCTAGGAGGAAGGATATTTTCACTATTCCTGTTTTGCGGCAAGGCTTAGGGAGGCGAAATTCCCTGAGTGCCGCCCCCAGGGCTCAGCCATCCTCATTAACCCGCAGTGCTATGGGAAGGCCTCGTGTTCCTCCATACTTAATGTTGATTAAAAATAAGGATGTGCACACCAATTATTTTTACTGGAACCCAAGAGAAAGAAGATGTGACTCGTGTGAATCTTCAGCCCTTTAGATTTATTTCTAGTTTACTTGAGGAAAGCCAGCTCGACTCACAAGGTGGTGTGACCCAGGAATCATGACCCCACTTTTCTCAAGAATCTCTCAACAAAGAACCTTCCAGACAACTCTTTTGCTTGACTCTGGGGCCAGGAAAAGGGCACAGCCTTTATCAGAAACACATGGCCATTCATTCTGCCCTATGCACACGGCAAAATAGGTCAGAGAGACCAGGGATGGAGAGTTTGTAGGGCCACATTTTCTCTCCCACACGTATTACTGTGGCTGAATTCCACAGGGTGAAAACGCCAGTCCATCTTCCTAAGCCTCAGGAACTGCAGAGCTGCAGGAACAAACGCTCTCCTCCAGCTCCAGGGGTAGTGGGCCTTTGCAGAGAAATCTCAAAAATCGCTGACACATCGATGCATCTTCATCCAACTTGCTGTGCAGAAAATGACAAGCCAGTTGAACTCCTCGCAGAAAACTTAAAAGTGCAATTAGGATGTTTGGAGTTTCCCCTGCCCACTGACATCAGAATGGGAGATTCTGGAGTCTCTCTGTTGATTCCTTTTTTCTTTGTTCAGACCACTGTACTGCTGGCCAGAAGCTCCAGCCTAAAAGACTCTGTCCAGGTAGATTTTGTGAGTCCCCAGAGTAATAAGTAGGAAAACTTTAGGAATGCAGAAAAATAGGGGGGAAATCCCAAACTCACAGATGATCGCTGACTTCTCTTCTATAGGCAGTGAGAGCTGGAGACAAGTCGTAAGAGGTCGAGTTTTTCATTTATGAAGCCATAATCAGCAACAGCAAACTTCTCGGAAGTTCTAAAATTGCATATTAACAAATATGACTTTCACAGTTCAATTAATTATATCTCAACAAGTAAGAATAAATGACTTAGTTTTCCAACTAGATAGAGTGAAATATATGAATAGTGCAATTTATACTTTGTTTTGACTAAACTAGAAAATATTAATGCTTTGATGCAAAAACCAGCTATTAACATATTAACTTCTGTTGGTGATGTCACTTTGGTTTGAATTGATTTCGCAAAGAACATTACATTCAGATTCATGCGCTGAATTCTAAGAATGTACACAGATTACCTTTCAGAAACGCTCATCTTCAACTCTGCCACAGCTACATGTTTCCTTTCATCTCGCCCCAGCTTTAAAAAAAATTGGGTTTTCAAAGCAATCTCATAGTTTTATCTCATTTATCAGCCTACCAAGGCGTGCCAATCTAATTGGCGCTTTTTTAGATTGCATTTTTTAGATTCTAATGGGTGGTTTTTTGGTTGGATTGGTTAAAATTAATTCTTACCACAGCACACAGTAAAACATGGATAGATTCAATTAGGTGCAAATTCAAAATGTACATCTGCTTCAACTGATCAGCTGTGGGAGGACCCCTGTCCAACGCATAACAACTGATACAAAACAAAGCGCTCTTCAATCTGCAAGAGATCCTGCTACCTAAAGCTGATCTCTCATGGCCCAGCCAGAGTAATCCCAATACGTCCTTCTGATAAAAACTCATCACCTTCCCACAGAAATGAAAGCAATATAATTCAACAATACAAAATCCAGGTGGCAAAAGAAAAACCATTGCCATCTACCATCCTACACCCACTGTGCTAAGCATTCTACATGTTGATTATTCCATTTGCTTTCTTTTTCTATAAGGCATACACTTTAAAAAGAAAGTGAAAACCCAATCTGAGGAGGATTGGTAGAAACTGATCTCTGATCACTCATACATCCGCTGTAGAATGTAAAATGGTCGCCATCTGGAAATAGTTGGCAGTTTCATTTTAGAACCGAAAGATCATTTGTGTTACATAGCCCAGCAGTTGCTTTTTTGCACCTGGTTCCCAAAGAAATGCGAAACGAAATTTCATGCATAAAA